CTGGCGGGCCGCGCGACGCCCCGCCAGCGTCTTGGGCAGCCGCCGCAGGCGCCGCACGGTGCTGAGCTTGCGCTCGGCGCCGCGCGCGTCGCAGGGGCCGGCGGCGGCGATCTGGCCCGCGCTCGGTCCCCAGGGCGGCGGGGCGCTTAGCCTGCGCGATCCACGGGCCGCCCGCCGCGCAGATGCGGCGCTGCGCCGCCGAGACCAGGGACGGTCGGGCCGGGCGAAATGGGGGGATTGGGAAAGGGGGGTTTACGAAATTTGCTGCATGCAGCTGGGCGCCGCCGGCGCCGGGAGGCGCCGGGAAGATCAGCTACGTGAGCTGATTCTCAAACCCCCCCTTTGCTACCCCCCCCGTTCGCCCGACTCGAGACGGGCTCGAGCCCGCGCGGGGAAAAAGCAGCCTGCCTCAGCCAACTCGGATGCCAGGCTACTGGTGGCGCTTTTGGCCCGATGCACACCGTCAACGGCCCAGGTGCGCGAGTCGACCCCGCGGTGCATACAGCCGGCGTGCAGGCCTTGCAGGAGCCCATGCGAGGAGGGTGGGTACGAGTGGAGACGGGTGCAGGAGCGGCCGGAGGGCGTCGGCGAGGGTCAGGAGCAGGATGGGAGCACGAGGAGGAGCAGCAGCATCAGCAGCAGCCAGAGCCTGGGGAAGCAATTGCAGGTGGACGCCTCCGAACGGCGGCTGGGGCAGACCGACGAGGAGAACGCCGCGCTGAGGCCGCTTTCGCCGCGGGCCGTGCTGAGGGGAGTCTCCGCCAACGGCCCTCCTTCAGGAGGCTGTTGGGAGGAGGAAGGGAGGGCTGGAGGAGAAGGACGCGGGGCGAGAAGGAGCAGGATGGGGGGATCGGGGTGAGAGAGCAGGAAGGAGGTGGACTTGCATTGCATAATGGGGTTAGACGGTCAAAGTAAAAGTATCCCCCTCGGGGGGTCGCTCTTCTTGTGCAGCGCAAAAGAATACGATCATGGGGCGAAACTGCTGTTTTGTTGGGCGTCGCGTTGGCCGTGGTCATCCCGACGGTCGTCAACACGTCGTCGTCGTCGTCGTCCGTCGTCGCCCCAGGAATGCAAGTCGTCGCCCCAGGATGCAAGACGCGTCGTCGTCGTTGGTGTCGTCCGCCGTCGTCATCCCCCAGGATCGTCGTCGTCGTCGTCCCCGTGACTGCGAGCCGTTTACGCACCCCCCCCCTCTCCCGTATGTCATCGGCAAAGGGCCATCGTCGTCGTCGGTGTCGTCGCCGCCGCCGCCGTCGTCGTCGTCGTCGTCGTCGTCGTCGTCGTCGTCGTCGTCATTGTCGTCGTTCCCCGGGAGTGCAAGACGCTTTGCCCTTACAGGGCCGTCGTCGTCGTCGTTGTCGTCGCCCCCCCGAACTGCAAGCCGCCTACGCCGTCACCCCCCGCGCCCCTTCCCCTCCCAACCGCACGTGCGATCCGAAGAGGGCCGCCTTCGCCGCAGTCGTCCGTCGTCGCCTCAGGACTGCAGGGCGCCCACGGAGCCCCCTCCCCGCTCTCCGCAGTCTGCCGTCGTCTTCGTTGTCGTCATCGCCCGTCGGCTTTCGGCCCCCACGGACTGCAACACGCCCGCGCCAGGGGGCAGGGGGGGTCCTCGGCCAGTCCGAACAGCCGCCCCCGACGCTCCGAATTGTCAGCTCTCGCCCCCCCTTCCCGCCCCTGGCCTCCCTCGGCGGCCCGGGTGCTAACCCGAATTGTCGGCCCTCCGTGGGCGGAGCTCCTTGGCCCCCTAACCTCATGCCCGTGAGAATAAACACTAGGGGATAATAAAGTTCGGGGTTCAGGGAGAGATAATAAAAGTAGCCCAGCAGACCTCAGCATAATCTCGAAGTAAGAGATGATCAAGAGGAGACCAAGCCGAGCACGTTTTGAGACATCCTTGGCGTTTAGTTTTCATAGAAATATCCTCAATAATGGCTTATCTCGCTGGAGACATCCTCGACAAATCCCTTGTTTCGCTTGAGACATCCGCAAACTATTGCTTATTTCGCTAGAG